GGAACGGGCAAGGTGGACGGTGGGAAAGGGCCAAAGAGCAGAAATGCCTAATGCGCCGCGCGGTGGCCGTCCCTCTTTTGCCCCCTGCGCAGTTGCGACCTCCACTCGGGGCGGCTGGACGCGGTGCGTGCGAAGCCGGCTCCGCGGGAAGGGCCGCCCTGTCCGCACCTGCCTCCCCTAGCGAGCCCTCAAAAACCCAGGGCGCGCGGCAGGCTCGCTCAGGACCTTGCGCCGCCCATAGGTGCGCAGCAAAAGCTTTTGGATGCAATTCATCGTCAGTCCCCCGGGCCACCCAGGCCGGCGCCTGCCCGCGGGGCGGAGGAGCTCTGCCCTGGTGGCGGCAAGGTCACGCAGGTCGCGCTCCCAGACCCGAGGACGCCGCTCCCGCCCGGCCCCGCCTGGCTCTGGTTTTCCGCGAGGATGGACGGCGACCGAGCGAGGAAACCACTCGAGTTAGGTCCTGTCTCCTCTCTCAGTCCCGACTTTTCGTCTTACCTAGACACGGACATGGGACCGCTCAGTGCAGACCTTCGCCCCTCACCCGCCCCACCTGCCTGCTCTTTGTCCTGGTTAAATCGTTAATTCCTCTCCCTGAGCGCCCTGAGTCTGCGGCTTCCCAGGCGGGCTCCCCTCCGCCCTCTCTGCCCTCTCCGATCTAGGCAAGGGAACGGAGGAGGCCGGAGCCAGCGCGCCCCTCGGGCGCCCTCGGCCTCCCGCCACCCCAAGCGAGGCACGGCCGCAGTCACCCGGGTTTCTCCAAACTCCCTCTGGCTGGTGCGTGGCTCTGGCCCGACGCTGGGACGGGATCCTCACGGTTGGAGAATTTGAATTCCCCAACCCGCGAGGCCCGAATCTGCCGACGGGGACAGCCAGTCTGACCTTTAAAAGTTGGCCCGCCCCTGACAATATTTTTGTGACGCGGGAAAGGAGGTTTGTGGCGTCGGGGGCTGCTGTTTGGATATCTGTACTGGAATCTGATGGAATTTCAATCTCTATATTTTTTTCCGTTTTTTTTTTCCTGGCACCACGAGAAAAGACAGGAATGGGAAGAAGAGCAAATCCCTGCTCTAGAGTTTGAGAGAACTGCCCACCGGGAAGTGAGTTCACTCCACCCTTAAGAAATGGCCCGCAAGAGGATAAGGTCGGGGACGAGGATTCTAACGCGACCAGTGCAGGGAGCCTCACCCCACGCAGGAGCGCCAGGAAGGGAAGAAAGGGTAGTGAGGCGTCCTGAGGAGTCCTTCGCCCAGATCCTGCCAAATACAAAATCAAATGCCCTTTCCCCACAGCTTCGGGGTTCACAGGAGCGCAAGGTAGATCTTTTAGGAGACAAGGAAGGGATGGGAGACGCCCGGGCTGGCTTCTCATTTACCACTGCCAGCCTGGACCCGGCGAATCACTCCTTCCTCCCGCGGGGCTGGCCTGCTCCCTAGCCAGCATTCCGGGATGTCCGTTGTCCTTTCCCGCGAGCCCCGGGAGACTACGTGTGAGATGGACCAAAACCGAGGGCAAGGGGCGGATAAAACGCCCACCTCCCTGGACGTCCCTCACTATTCCCAAACGTCTTGGTCAGCAAGAGGGGCCGACAGGACCCAGGTGCGTGGGGGAACTGCTGGATTCGGGGAGGAGAGAGGTTCGGAGGAGGCTAAGAGGCCAGCGCACCCAGCGCTGGGTTAGGCGCTGTGGGAACTCGGACCTTGGCAGCCCTGGGGGAGGCAGCGGGGACGACCCCGGACAAAGGCAGGTGTGCCGGAAACAAGAGAAACCAGCCACCCTAAATCGTGGGCCAAGTAGCTGGGACGCATCAGTTTAGGACGAAGTCCTTTTTTGAACCTATCCACTGGCGCCCACAAAACAAGGAACTCTGCGCGTGCTGGATGTGACCCCGAGGGTGTCGAGGGTGTTGCCTCCTGCAGAACACTCCCACCACTCAGAGCAAGGAGCCGGGGTTCGAGTTCCTTAAAAAACACTGACCTGAGGCGGCGGGAGGGGGGCTGCCCCGCCCACCAGTCCGCGCTTTGGGGGGGCGCGGGGTGTTCTATTTCTCTACCCAAAGTTGGTCTCGGATTGCTCCCAGCCTCCTCCCTCCGGATTCTCCCGAGCTTCTTGCTCAGGCCTACGCCCCTCAAACGGATAAAGACCCCCGAGTTTGTCCAGAGAAGCCCCAGCCAGGCACGGCCCGATCGGGCGACCCAGGGGCTCTCGGAGCGGGAAGGCCGGGACCTGCTCCGCAACCTCTGCACGGAAAAGCAGAAGGCCAGCAATCGCTTCAAAGACCAGGCCACCCAGGAGCGAGCAGTGTCGGGAGGCGCTGTGTGTGGGGGGCGTACAGGGTGTAAGGAGGAAGGCCACCAAAAGAGAGAAATGATTACATAATTTGATAACGTTTTCCTGAAGGGAATGCGCCTCACCCATCCCTCCAAAGCAAAAGACTATACTGGATTCCAACCCCTAAAACACCCCTAGAGGCCAGGACACCAGAGGCACTGAGGTTGGGGAATCTCTAGACCTGCGCTGCCAAGTGCTCCATCTGTGGTGGCCCAGAGTGAAGAAGCAGAACCTGGTGGTGGGGTGGCGGGTGACCCTTCCAGTTGGCAGGTTGGAGGGATCCCTGCGGGAGAGCCTTTCTGGTGTCTCCTCCACTACCAGGTTTAAACACCCACAGCCGGAGATTAACCCCTCTTCCTCCCTGAGGCCCAAGGGCATGTCCACCACCGCCCCCCCCATGGAATTCTTAGGCTACTGGGTCCGATGCCCCAAGAAAGAGAATGATCGGGTATATGTGCCAGAGGGGACCAGTCCCCCAGTGCCCAGCACCAACAGCTTAATAGCCAGAGCCAGATCTGCTGCAATGGGGGAGGGTAAAATCCACACACATCCCCAAAAGGAAAAAAACAAAGCTGATCCCAAAGCCTTCAGGGATTGGTCCCCTAAATTTTGGCCAGTGCCTCCTCCAACCCAGGCCACAGAACCACGGCAAGACAAAAGGAAGGTCAGACCAACCCCTCCTGGTTCAGCCTTGCCTCACTGGACCACCCTGGGATGAGAGTCCCCTTCTCTACCTCATTAAGTTTTCCACAGTTCCAACCAAGACGCCGAGGCCTGGCGAACTGTAGCTCTGAAGGTGAGTTCTAGGCAATTTAGGAAATCGAGTTCCTGACGACAAAATCAAAGCTGTCTCTGAGTAAGAAAAACGAAAAGTGAGACCTTCTGAGAGTGTGTCCTGCGCATCCAAAGAAAGGCTGTCAGAGCAAAACCCACCGTCTTACATTGCGGTCCTAACAGAGGCCACCTATGGACCACAACTATTAAAGCACAGCTGTATCGGGTAACAAGGACATGAGTCACACACACCTGCGCCCACTCACACACTCCCCTCACTCGCGCAAAGGTACAATCAACTTAAGCTGCAGCACCTTTGCCAGGGTTTGTGTTTGTGCAGGGGCTGACGATCCACTCCCTCCTGCCCTCGGAGGGCTGGGGTAGTAAGGAGTCAGTGAATCCCCAATGCCTTCCACAGATACATCTTAACGGTAAATTCCCCAAGGCACAGCGCAGACTTGGAACTGTTTGCCAGCAGTTGACAGAAAAAGATACAAAACATAGCTGTAGTATATAGTCAAGGAACAACCTTAGTAGGTTTGAGTGAAGCTATCCTCTTCTAGTCCCCTCTCACAAACTTCCCAGGAAGTCGCGGGGTAGGGGTGTGAGGGGACAGACACGCTCGCCAGCCTGCCTTGGAGGTACTGCTGGGGCAGAAACCATGTCATGGAGAGCCGGGGCGCAGGAGGGCGCGCTGCTGCGCCCTAGTTCCTAGGTAGGCACCCTCCGTGGATGAGCCGGTCCTTACTTAAACCTCAAGGATGTAGCTACCGGTCCACTGAAGAAGTCGCGGGCGGAAGCACAGCCCCTTGGCGAGCGGAGTGAGGGAGCCCCTCTTCTCTCTACCGTGCCCAGGGGCTTTCCGCAGAACCCGCGAGCCTGCGGGGCAGGGCTCACGCGGCGCCAGCCAAGCGAGCGCGACGCCACGGGACCTGCTCTGGCCTCCGCACAGACTCTCCACCGAAGACCTCGTTCACCAGCAAGGAACAGAGAAAATTCTCACTGGGAAAATCCCTGCGCGCGCGCGCGCACACACACACACACACGCACACGCACTCACCTGAGGATAAACAAGCCCCGAGCTCCGGCCGCCTTCCTAATTTCGGGGACGGGAAAGAAAGCGCCCGCACACCCTTATCTCTCTCCTTTCGAATCTGAACCATACTGAGAGCCTGCTCTCGCGTGCGCCAAGGCTGTACCCCGAGTTCGCAACTTCGTCCCGGTGCTTCTCCCTCCCTTCATTCCTCGGCTAGCTGGAATATGGCGAGTGGACTTCCTCACCAGGAGCCGGCAGTCCCTGGCGGCGCTGGCGGCGGGCGCCGCGGGCAGCAGCGGCTGCGGACGCACGAGGCGCGCACGCCCTGCGCGCGGGGACAGCGCGGGTGGCCTGGGCTTCTGCGCCGCTAGCCCCGGCGGCGGGGGACGCGCTCTCTAACTTCCCGCCAGCTGGGGTGAAGTTGCACTAGCGGTACTGCGAGCTTTGACCGTAGCCCCCTCCCCTGGCGGGGAAGGAGGGTTTGGGGGACCACCCCAGCGCTTAGGCCTGGGCCTGGCCTGCAGCTCTTTCCTCTGGTGTCTGTCCCCAGACAGCACTCTCCCCAAGGCTCCTAGAAAAAACATGGGCTGGGGATGCGGGGTTCGGTATCCCTAGGCTCGCCTCAAGCACCATCCGGGAGGCTTTCACTTTCGGCCCCCAAAAGCCAAGGGCCAGGCCCTTCAAACGCACTCTAGCTGGTGCCCCTGCCCTGTGACCGCCTCTGCGCCCGGGCCGCCGGCCCCTCGCCCCGCCCGTCCTCTCCGGTCCAGGCTACGCGCAGCGTCCGGCCCGCCCCAAACCGGCCAAAGCTGCCGGCCGTCTCGTTATCAAATTAAGTCAGCGAGAAAGGGGGGTGTCTTACGTTGCATCGGCACACCAAGCATCTCCGGGAGCCCCTTGACAGCCCCCTCCGCGGGGACAGCTGCGCTCTGCATCATCTCCGAGCGAGAGCCAGCGAGTCGCAGTCTACGGAGATTTCTCGTTCTCTCGCTCAAGCTGGATTCAGAAATTTGAAAATAATAAAAAACCCAACCAGACCGCCGAAGTCACGGTGGAAGCCGGACCCTCCGCCTCTACAGGAGGATTCCACAGGCTGCCTGGCCCCCTCCCCCCGCCAGTCCTCAGTCTGTTTCAAATCCCTTTGATCTCGCTCTCCCGGGTTGGTGCACATCCCGGGTTGAGGAGACGCTGTTGCTGCAGCTCTGGCTTTTTTCCCCTCCTCCCTCCCCCCGCCCGCTTCTCTCCCCCTCCCCCTCCACCCTTCGCGTGCCGGCCGCCCAGGAGGCCGCGGTCACCCAGGCATTTTGATTCATTCACACTGCAGGAACGGCCGTGACGTCGCTTTCCGCAGGGAGGCCCGCCCTTCAGCCAAGCCCCCCACCCAGCAGCGAGCGGCGGACCCAGGCCCGAGTGGTGATGCTAGCGCCCTGAGAGAGGCCGGCCGGGCAGGAGGGCCGGACCGCATGGAGCGGGGCGGGGCCTCACGGGCCGTTCCCCCTGCTCCCCGCGGTGCGGGCTAGCGCCCCGTGTATAAATACTGCAGCTGGCTCGGCCGCGGCAGCAGGTGGTCCCAGACGGCCTCGTCTGGGGCTCGCAGGTTTCCGTGGATCCTCTCGGGGTTCCGGCCTCAGCCGGCGGCTCGTGTCCTCTCCGCCCCTCCGTTCGAACCAAGGAGCGGGGAAGGGCGGGGCAGGCGCTCCGGAGGCCTGGGTCGCACGGCGGTGTCTTCCCGTCGCGCTCTCTTGGTCCTGGGCTTCTCTCGGGCGGACGGAGCGTGCTCCGTAACTAGATGACTCCATCCTCCTCCTCCTCCTCCACCTCTCCTCCGGCCAATTCCTTTCCCGCCGGCGCTTCCCAGCCCTTGCTCGCTCTCCCCCGCGTCTGGCTGAGGCCGGGCCAGGGACAGCCAGTACTCAGCCTGGAACGCGCGAGTCACGCAGCGGGCTGCGGCGGGCCGAGGAGAGCAGCCAGGGTCTGCGCACGGAGGTGGCAGGGCGCGGGCCCCCGGTGCGCGCCCCCGCACGCCGCGGCCTGCAGCCCCGAGTCGGCTCCTCAGTCCTTCCCCGCCCCGTCCCGACTGCTCTGCCCGCGTCCTCTCTGCTTGTCCTGCCCTCGGTCCTCAGAGACCGCTCTGCCTCAGCGCTGCGACCGCGGGCGTTTTGAACAATTCCCCACCTCGTGTGTGCGGGGCGGCAGCGAGCACACCACCCCAGGGGCTAACCAGCAAAGGCGTGTGTGTTGTTACGGTATTTACAACACGCACACGCACACGCACACACACACGCACAGCAATTCTCAACGCGAGTTCCTGGAGGAAATAAAACAGAAGGCCCACGGCTGGGACAGGTCTCCGCCGAGGTTTCCTCATGCTTCATCAGATTCTCTACGCCGCCTGACCGGCAGACGCGGAACACCCATCCCCCGGACCCGGCGGCTTTCTGGATCCCAGAGCTCGCGACACCGCCACTCGGAATTCGTTCTAGAGATGTAGACATATGTGTAATCCCAGCATAGTGGAGTCCAGCCCGGGTGGGAAAGGGAACTGTGTGCTCTCTCCAACTTTCCAGCGTGTCCCCTGCTTTTTCTCCTGGCGTTGTCCCCAAAAAGGGGACACCAGGGTTGGTGAGGGACAAGCATGAGTGTGGGAGCGGATGGCATGGCTGTCAGCGCTTAGAATTTGTTTTCAATGAAGTCACAGTGACTTCTATGTGACCTAGTACTGGGTTGGCATCATCTCTTGCCCTGTTTACCTGCGAGGTAACTCCAGGGCACAGGAAAAAAGCCAAGAACCCGGTGACATTTTCAGTGTTTAGCAAAATGTTTTCTACAAAAATTTAGCTAGTAAACAAACACGAGGAAATGCCAGCCTCATTAAGAATCAAAGACAGGAGAAACAAAGCATCGTAGCACTTACACCTTTTTTGTCTGTTCAATGAGTAAAGGGGGGCAGACGGTAGAATTCAGTGCTGGTGACGGTTATTTGATACTGCTACTCTCACAAATATTGTTGGTGTGCTTATAAGCTCTTAAATTCGTTTGGAAAGCAATTAGGCAAAATGTATCAAACCCATAAATTTTTCATACCCTTTAGCTCATGAAATTCCACTTTTGAGTGTCTTTTCCACAGAAATAATAAAATTCGAAACAAGTTTCATACATGAAGATGCTTATTACAGCATTACATTTTGGAGAAAAATAACCTAAAAATCCAACAAAAGAAAAGTAATATACAATTATTGAAACTAATTATGAAACCCAGCAACATGGAAATGCTTGTGAAATACTAAATTTTTTAAAAAGCAGAATGCACTATTGTATGATTATAAGTATGTAAAAATTTTAAAGATAAAAGCAGTGATAATCCCATTGTTGGCTAGGGTGTGGGGAAATTAGAAAACAGTTTCCTGGTGGGTATGCAAAGAGGGACAATGTCCTCTGAGGGCATTTTGGCAATATCTTTTATAGCCCAACAGTGTGATGGATTTGACCCAATCCATACAAAAATTTGTCCACAGTAAATAATCAAGAATATTTATAATGACATAGTTGCAAGGACGTTTAAAAAAGAGAATAACCTGCATATCCAACAGCAGGGGATTATTAGAGTATATAAAATGGAATGATACAGTCATTAGAAAATACAACACAAGAGTAATAATGTAGAAAAGTGTTTGAGATTTATAAGGAAGTGAGGGAAAAAAGAGAATATGAAGCAGTATGAACTTTAGGATAATTATTTTTTAAAGAAGCATAAATAGAAATATATATAAATATAAAAGTGGTTACCTGTACATTATAATTTTTATTTTCTTCTTTTTGCTTTTTTCAGTTTCCTCAATGAGCACGTTATTTTATAAAGTGGAAAAAAACTAATAAAAGTTGTTTTCAAAAACACGGGACAAACTGGAAAGAAATATATCAGAATGCTATTCAGAAGTACATTATGGAAAATAGTATACTAGGGAGATGTATTTCATGAAATTTTTTCTTCTCTTTTTCAGATTTACTGTAAAGTTGTTATATGTTTTCAGTAATATCCGTAAAAGATAAAATATTTATATGCAGTGAAATATAGAGCATATGTGGTAATTATTTTTATAATTTAATATTACATTTTTAAAATGCTCTCTGCGGCTCCTACTCCCCTGATATGAACCTGCCTGGGTCCTGCCCTCTTCCCACTGCATGTCACTAAGTCATTCACTGGGTGAGGGGCAGCATTACTGTGGTGGAGACTCTCCTGTGCCTAGGGCTGGTTCAGGGGATGCCACTTTCAAGTCTATCCAATGGCAGAGGAGCCCTGGGAGATCCGTTTGGCTCTCAGTTCTTGACCTTGTGAGCAACTGCTCCCCCCGCACCCCTCTGTGTTCCCACATGTACACGCAATGTAGCTCCACGAATAAATGCCCTTGTTACATTACTAAACTTTTCTAGAGGTATTTGCCTCCTGGTATGAGCTGAGTCCCATTCCCAAGGTCTTCCACTAACATCTACATCTGTCAAGGTATTTCACTTTCTTCCTGGGGCCTTAGCCTTCCCATCTAATAATGAATCCCCAATAAAAATCTTTCCTTAAATGTATTTTTTAGTGCCTGCTGCTGCTGCAGATAGCGATAATGATAACAACATAACAGCATATGGTGGTAATAATAATAACCAACACTTATGGAAAGTTTAAAACTGTGTCAGGCACCAGGGTAAGTGCTTCTACATGTATAATTCCACCTATTATTCACAACAGTTCAATAAGTGGTATTGGTGGATGAAAAAACTGAGGTTAACAGGGGCTAAGCTTGTCTCTACCCTCCACAGAATGGAAGAACGGCTGATTCCCACAGAAGGCAGATAATCTCTACTGTGGAATAGCCCAGGAAGACCATTGGGGTGCATCTGTTCGGACTTAAACCTCTGAGCTGACTCAGGGCTTTTCCCACTGACAGCTGCCCATGGCTGGCCAGTGACGTCCCAGGAGCAATGGTCCTCAGAGCCTCCTCAGACCTGTGCCTTCCAGCTACAACCCAATGGGAGGGTGGGTACCAGAGGATGGCCTGGTGGTGATGTGGCTTTCCCCAGGTCTAAGTTCCATCAGGGCAGTCGGTCAATAGCCAGTAAGAGTATCTGGCACTTTCTGAACATTTACATATTACATTTCTGGGAACCAAACCCAACATGTCAGTGGATCCAGTTCTAAGGGAAGAATCTCCAGAATTCAGCTTAAGAAAATGATTAAAGCTTCCATTCGTCTTTACATTTTACAAAGTTCCTCCACATATTTTATCTCATTTGATCTTCATAATCATGCCTGGGCTTGGGTATGATTATCAGGAAACGGAGAAGTTAAGTGGTTTGCCTAAGGTCACGCTGCTAATAAGTTGCAGAGTCAACTGGAAATTAAATCCAGTCTTTGACTCCCAATCTGGTGCTCTGTCCACTCCGCACAGCAGACTTGTGTGTCTTCTAACCCTTGCACTTTAGGAACTTCACAGAGTGGGCAAGTTTACCCTCAGACACCGGGAATCCTGAGGCCCAGTCCCTTTCTCCACTGAGGGATGAATTCGCTGCCTCTGCTCCTTGTCACCCCATCTCCAATTATTTCCTCCTGTCCTTATTCCTCTCAAACCCTCTTTTATCATTTGCATTTTGAAACTGTTTCCTTAATTATTCTCCTGCTGTTGGAATCCTGCTCCCCCTTGTCTTTGTGGCATCCTTTGATTTATCTCTGTCTGGATAACAGCTCCCCGATTCTCCTTGGGGAATTCAATTTTCATTCATTTTTCTGCTGGGCTAGATTGATATAGACCCTCTGCCCCGGTCCATATTAGTCATCCCAGCAGAGAAAACCAGGGAGACAAACCCTAAGCCCAGCCCCTGGGGAGTCACTGTCTTGTTCGGGGAGCCACAAGGAGTTCTCCAATGAAAGGACAGGGGCCTTTGCTCTTCTCCATCTGTCCACCCAGTCCTCCCAGTCATTTGTCACAGGCCCCTTTTGTGAGCCCACCA